ATTAAAAATAAGCGATTTTTGGCTCACCCTGTATATATCAAATGATGTGAACAGTTTTAAAATGTATTCCTTAAGTCTCCTCAATAATATACTCTAATTTTATAAAATCGGTGTACAAAAATTAAAAAAAAAACATTAATTTTCAAAAAATTTCGAAAAGAGGAGCAGCTAGGTAAATATCACCAAAGGGTCCCGAACAAGAAACTGCAATCAGTTTTTGGCGGCATTTTTATGTGACTTAAACTTCGTTCAGGCACACCGTGTATTATAGTTCTTATTACACAATATAGGATTCATGGATCCAACAATTAATGTTGTTTAACCGCAAGAATGGTTTCATTATAATTTTGTAATAAACTCGTCCATCAACTAAATTTCGTGGGAATTTTAAATGTAAAACAAACTAAAATGTTGATATTTCTTCACAGTAACATTTGTTGTTTTAATAAATGATGACTTTTTAATAGTGATGCAACGGTTTCGGGTTTTACGGTTACGGTTACGGTTACGGTTAGCTATACGGTTACGAATAAATTCACGGTTATTCAAAAAAAAATTACAGAATTACGAAAAATAAAGTTTTGAAATTAATACACACGTTCAGTAAAGCTTAAATAATAATTTATGTAAAACAAAAACAGAATTTCTAATAAAACTGTAAAACAATAGGAAATGAGTTACATTTTAAACCTAAAAACAGTAAAGTAAAACCTAAGTAGGTACCTGAATAAAATATTTAAAAATATAAAAAAATTAAATGTTATAACATAATATTATAATATTCAAAATTTACGAGTCAAATTTTTATTTAAAAAACATAACATCTGCAAATTCTGCGGAATCAGCCTGTTCCTATTTGGTGTTTGCACAAGACCTGCAGTCGAAAACAACCTCTCCGAATTCACTGACAATGGTTTGTATAATACCTTAGTGCCAACACTCTTAAACGCCGAAACGTGTAACACGTTTTCCAGAATGTAAACGGATTTGACTTAGGTGGTATATTTGGTAACGTTAATTACTCTTCAATTTTTTTTTTACATGCATTCACAAAGTAGCATGAAAAACCGTAAATACGGTTACGGTTAACGACATACGGTTACGGTTAACCGTATAATATCGAAAACCGTGAATTAACCGTAACCGTAACCGTAACCGTTGCAACACTACTTTTTAATTTATTTTAGTGAATTAATTCAATTTACAGGGTATATACAGGGTGTTTCACAGTCGTGGGCCTAAAATATTTTGAACAAAATGCGACTTCCGGTTTAACCGGACGTCAACTTTGTTATTTCAAATAGATTTTTTTTACATTTTTAAATTCTACATAAAATTCTGAGTAAAATTCCTGTACCATCTCCTATACCTAAAGTAAATAGTTTTCGAAGTTTTAATTTTTTTTGTTAAAATTTGAGAAATGCACGTCAATTAAAAATACCCTATAACTTTTCTGTTATTATAATACATGTTAGCAAATATGGGGGCGGAGTTTTAAGAATCTTAAAACATTTTTTAAAAGATTCCCTGTCACTTCTTTAATATTTTTCAACAAATTACCTGAGAAAACTTGGGGCTTGTTAGGTTAATAACTTTTTTATTTTAAATGTAACACCCGGTATGTTTATTAGACTAGGCCAAAAAAAACAACTTTTTTTTGTTGAAAAGTATATCGAAAATATTGTTTGGGGTGAAAATAAAAATTATGGTGAAAGTTTGAGTAAATAATATTATTATTAAAAGGTCTATCATCGCAATTTAAGATTTTTTTTCCTGAGCGAGTTTTTGTCTCAAAACTCCCAAACCATTGGGTTTTATAAAATTGTCTTGGGAATCTTTTTTAAAGAAAATTGAATGCTCTACAAAAAAGGTTTGATTGGAATTTTCCGTCAGATTAACCGTTTTCTTACAATCATGCCTTAAAAATTGGTATAGTTTTCCATTTGATATTTTAACTTTGTAATTCATGTAAAAATCATTACCCGGAAAAAAAACCGATAGATATTCTTATGGGAAATCAAATGCTCTACAAAAAAAGTCTCCTAACATTTTTGGCTAGATTCACTCCATTAAAAGTTAATCAAGGTTAAATTTGAAGTCAAAACGAACTTCTTGTTTTTTCCGCTCTAGATTTTTTTTTGGGTCAGTTAAAAACTTGAATTCTTTTATCGATGATAATCTTTATGTTATTGATAAAATTACTGAAAATTAAAAAAAAAAATAACACATTAGAATTTTTTCGCTTTAAGAAGCTATTTTCTTTAGAAAATATTATTTTCACTGTTACCTAATTTAATCGTTTAAATAATAAAAATTATGTTGTACACATTTATAAAGAAAAAAATCAAATTATCGTCCATAAAAAAATAAATCTACAGAGGAAAAAACAAGAATTTTGTTTCAACTTCAACTTTAACCTTGAATAACTTTTGATTAAGTGAATTTAGCCAAAAATGTTAAGAGGCTTTTTTTGTAAAGCATTTGATTTCCCATAAGAATATTCATCGTTTTTTTCTGGGTACTGATTTTTACATGAATTACAAAATTCCAAAGATCAAAATATAAAAATACCAATTTTTAAGGCATGATTTTAAGGAAACGGTTTATCTGACGGTAAATTTCATTTCAACCTTTTTTGTAGAGCATTTAATTTTCTTAAAAACATATTTTCATGTCAATTTTGTTAAACTCAATGGTTTGGGAGTTCTGAGACAAAAACTTACTGAGGAATAAAAATTTAAAATTGCGATGATAGACCTCTTAATGTTAATATTAGGGACTCAAACTTTCACAATAATTTTTTTTTGTCGCCCCAAACCATATTTTGAATATACTTTTCAAAAAAAAATAGTTGATTTTTTTGGCCCAGTCTAATGTTTATACACTCACAGGCAAAATAATCGATCCACACAAATTTTCGATGAATTTCAATCGCAAATAACTTTTTTATTTGATTTCAGATTTAAACAAATATTAAAGAATATTGTAGATACATTAATGAAGAATAACTCACATTTTAAAAATTACTAAAAAATACAGGTTTAAACAAAAAGATGTTTTTTACCATAAGTTTAAGACACTCTGTAGAGTGGCAAAACCGTATATTGTTCTAAATTAAGTTTTAATTATCAAGTCACATACATCTATTTTTAACAGTTTTGTTTTTGGTTTACCTTGATATATTTATTTTTGTGGAAAATTGGATTTTTTTAAAAAAACATTGCAATTTACAATATTTTCCTGTATGAAGAACTGAGGTTGCTATGGTCCATCCATAGCCTATGGAGGATGAGAGTGACAGTTGTATTGAATCATCCCATACTTGGACATGTCATATACATGTTTCAAAAGCTATCAATTTGTTTTTTGTAAATTAATGTGTTAATTTTGAGGTGTCTTCTTATTTTTAAAAATGTCTCCGACTGATGTTGCCCTTTGTACTTTACTTCTTATGACGTTTAAAACACTTGCCACGTAATACTGTGACCGTCCATCCTGGATTAAATTAATAGCTCTGGCAACATCAGTTGGAGACATATCCATTTTATAAAATAAGAAGACACCTCAAAATTTAAACATTAATTTGCAAAAAACAATTTGATAGCTTTTGAAAGCCGTGTATGACATGTCCAAGTATGGGATGATTCAACAAAACTGTCACTGTCATTCTCCATAGGCTATGGATGGACCATAGCAACCTTAGTTCTTCATACAGAAAAATATTGGAAATTGCAATGTTTTTTTAAAAATCCATATTTTCCACAAAAATAAATATATCGAGGTGAACCAAAAACAAAACTGTTTAGAATAGATGTGACTTGATAAATAAAACTTAATTTAGAACAATATACGGTTTTGTCACTCTACAGTGTGTCTTAAACTTGGGGTAAAAAAAATCTTTTTGTTTAAACCTGTATATTATAAACGTACGTGTATTTTTGGTAACTTTTTAAAATGTGAGCGATTGTCCATTAATTTATCTACAATATTCTTTAATATTCGTTTAAATCCGACATTAAATAAAAAATTTATTTGCGATTGAAATTCATCGAAAATTTGTGTGGATCGATTATTTTGCCTGTGAGTGTACATAATCAAATAGTAAATTAAAAAAGCTTTCAAATGAAACTATTCCCTATACTCAATGTTAATAATTTCAGAGATATTTAACAATTTCTAAAATATTAAATATTATTTTGTATCAAGGAACCTGTGACGGGTGAGATGAAGGTATCTATGGTTACCACCTAATCTGTCATTGTTCAAAATTTAATGGATTCCATTTTCAGGTCGTTATACACAATTTGTTGACTTAATAAAATTACTGATAAAAAATAGCAGTCAGTAGCTGCCAAGGCAAGCCAAAATTTTTTTAAATTTTAAAAGTAATACAAAGAAGTATTATAATTTTGAAAAAAAATCAACAAACCTTGGACTTAAATGGATTATTAACGCTTTTAAAATTTCAAATCGATATCTTTTTTCGTTCCCTAGATACTTCTAATGGACCTCGAATGTGAAACACCCTGTATACAGGACACCCTTTGTACCTTTGTATCTTTAAAGATACCTACATAAGTTGTACATTTTTATTTTCAAGATTTCGTAAATAATTCCTAGAAATATAAATTTTTATTTTACTTTTTATTTCAATAACGGTTGAATATAGCCTTAAGGCTAAATTATTAATTCAGACATTATTAAAGTATTTAAGGGGAATACAATTCAGCCAATATATATTGTGCTAGCTTTCAAAACTGCCGACATAAGATAAAAACAGACACCCTGTATATCTGATCTTGCTTGGTTTTTGAAATAAAAGATGATATTTTTACTGTCTTAATATCTTTTGATTCATGCCATTTTTGGAACACCCTGTATTGTAAACAGTACGATTTTCTGCTAATAAAAGGTTATCAAGATTTTATTTATTTTTAAATATAGTTTTCCCCGCCATTTGGATAACGTTTGACCCCTTATTTTGATGTATTTATTCTCAGAAAAAGATTAAAAATAAAAAACACACAAATATAAATTTGGTCAACATCTTGAACAGTAAGATTTTAAAATGTGTTGCAAACAGTTCGTTATTTTGCTGTCGCTCTTGTCTACTGCTATCTCTAAAGAAGCAAGATTTGAAAATGTAGAAATAAATGGATACGATCTAAGCAAACTGGTTTATTCGAAAAAAATTGAAAAGGCGTTTTCTCTGACTGAAAATTTACCGAAAAACTACGTGGATAAGCTCGTTATAAGTGGAAATATTCCAGTTTTGCACGAAGGAGCCCTGAATTTAAAAGAATTGGATGAATTGGTTATGGAAAATTGCAAGATAAGGGAAATACAGCCTGGTGCAATAAATGTAGGAGAAATGAGAAAATTATCCCTCAACAGAAATTTAATCACCGAAATAAAACCACATGTATTTAGTAATCTAAGTTTGTTTGTTCTGGATCTAAGTAAAAATAATATCAACAAAATCGATTCGAACGCTTTTAATGACATGAGCAATTTGATGACTTTAAACCTAGGTTGGAATAATATTGATCGTATTGATAGCAATTGGTTTAGAGGAGCACCCGAATTAACCCACTTCACCATGCATCACAATTCCATCCAAGAAGTTCCAGACAAGGTTTTCCATTATTTGGCTGAAAACAGAAACTCGAAACAAATCAGCACTTCCTTGGGAATCGTCCTGGATCACAATAAAATCAAAACAGTCCATCCAGGCGCGTTCAAGGGTTTAAAAGAAATCGAAATGGTGTGGCTGCACGACAACTTACTGCAAGGTTTGGATGAGAACACCTGGGAAAGTATCCATTTGCGTCAACTCACTTTGGGCAACAATAATATCACTTGCTTTGAAGGCGACCTGGACAAAATTTTAAGTGCTGATAAAATTAGCGTCGAGCCGAATCCATTCGATTGCGCTTGCTTGGAAAAACTAATGGGGTGGTCGAAACAAAGCAAGAAAAGCATTGACCTGTTTTATGCAGACAATGAGTGCAAACTAAAAGATATTAGGAGAAGAATAGATAATTTAAATAAAGCCTTTGATAACTACTAAAAATGTACAGTGTACACACCTTGACAATAATAAATCATAATTTTTCTTAATTTGTTAGTTTTATTTATTTATATAATAGTTATTTATGGTACCAGTCTGTTATATTGAAAATAAGTCACGCGAGAAAGATTTATACCACGAGGCCGTCAGGCATATTATAAACACTCTGGACAGATGTTATGTACACGTTACGAATTAAAATAAAGTAAACAGAAACATAAGTTGCAGATGCTGAAGTCGGTTCAACTTGTTGATGCGTATTGTCAGTGGGAAATGTTTTTATTGACTGCCTGAAATCAAGTGTACTTTTACAACGAAATATTTTTTTAAACATTACCAAAATAATCTGTAACCTTTGAAATTAACAAAATGCTTACAAAATTGCTTCTTACCTTTACTAAACTTTCAGTAAAATATTTTCCTTTGTTAAAATAATTACAAACCATGTTAAAATTTTACAATATAAAATTAACAAACTCACACGTCCACAAAACTTGTGGACGTCACAATAAAGTGAGAGATGCTCTTGGTGATTAATGATGTTTTTAATTCTTTTTAAATTAATATTTAATTTTTTCTTTTATGTACATTTATTATTCTGATATTAAAGTAATACTCCAAAAATGTCAAAATTATTCAAGATACTTTCCATTTTCTATAGTGATGCCGCGAGACGAGACGAGACGAGAAAAGTCCTTCTCTCGTCTCGTCTCGTGCAGCGAGAGAAAATGGGTCTCTCGTCTCGTCGAGAATACTCTTTTCTCGCTCGAGAGTGCCTTTCTCTTTAGTCGTTTTTTCGCGTAAATACCATGAAATACTATGGTTATTAAACTTAACCGTGGTTAATAGTTAAGGTATTTTTGCGTTTAGAGTGCGTTCAAAAATTCTAACTATGACGTCACAAATACCAGACCATAAAACTATATCGCTGAGCTAGTTATTCAACGTGGTTAATAGTCTTTCTCTTTTTAATATATATTTTTCTCTGTTTCGATCTGTCAAGAAGTTGTTTACATTTAAAATTTAAAATATTATACAATGGCTCTTTTTAATTTTTTTAATTTAAACTTTGTATTAAAATGGTAAACGGGGTGTTGTCAGTAAAAATAAATGATAGGGTGCTCCATATTGTGAATCTCCACAAGTGGAGGAATTATATGCAGGTTTTTTTTTATATTCTTCCTTATTTTGTATTAAACATGTAGGAGAATTGGATAACGTGTATTAAAAAAACTAGTACCTATAGAAAAAGAATATACTAGGTATAAAAAGAGGCAAAGAAATTTATTTACACCGGTAAAAGCATAGAAATTAAATATAAATAGGTAAAAACACATTTCAAAAATTATAGGTTATGAACAAGTAAACAAATGTCAAATGTTAGAAACCTAACCATGGTTATATGAATTAACTGTGACGTCATGACTTATTTAACCGTAGTATTACATAGTATTTACGCGAAAAAAACGACTTTTATCGTTATTATTTCGACTATTTAGAGGTAATAAACAATATATTCACTATTAATAAAAAGTATTAGCTACACAGTTTATTTGTCCCATTTTTTTTCTCAGTGTAGTATATAGGCGCAGTAGTTTTCAGATGGATGGATCAAATCATCCATCCATCTGAAAACTACTGCGTCTATATGATGTAACTACTCCACATAGATCCAACCATCTTGTACCTACTGCGCATGTCCGTCATTTTGAATCCGCAATTTTGTTTTTTGAATGGATATCAAATTCTTAATCAGGGACCCCATAAATATCTAAATACTAAATTTTACCCAAACAATTAAAACCTAACGACAAATTTGCGTCATATTGGATCAGCCATTTTATTTTTTGAAGAAATGGATATCAAATTTTTAATCAGCCCCTCAAAAACCACATGTTGTTGATAAGTTCATTGAATAAGCAATGCTTATTAAGCACGGGTTGTTTAATAGTATAAGGAGTGCCATAAATGTGCTTATACAGGGTAAATTTTAAAAATTAATATTATTTTATAAGTAATTTTTTTCTTGGTTACCTTAAGTTGTGTTATAAAATAATAAAACGTTATACAGGAACAAATTTTGTTTATTATGAAATGCGAATAATGTTCTCATTGGTCCAAATAAATATCGCAAAATTAAAATTTTTATGTAAAAAAATTGTTTACTTATTACCGGAATAATCGAGAGAACGAGAGAGATCGAGAGAAACGAGAAATTCTCGAGCGAGAGAGGGCTTTCTCTCGTCTCGTCTCGAGCCTTTTTTCGAGAGAAAATCTCCCTCTCGTCTCGTCGAGACGAGACGAGACGAGACGAGAGGCGAGAATCTCTCGTATCGGCGGCATCACTGATTTTCTAATTGGGTCATTTTCAAGAAACACCCGCTTTCAGGAAAATGAAGATCAAATTTTTTTTTGCTTAAATTGACTTTTGGTTGGATTTTTATAAATGTTTTGTTTACTTACATTTAAGACAGGCAGTGCACTTTTTAATTTTTTTACATTTTTTTCAGAAAAATGTGTTTAGCTAGCTTTATAAACCTCAACTGTGTTACCAATTTGAAATCCAAAATTTAATTCAATAAAAAAAGTTGTTATAAAAATAATTTGAAATAAAATGTACTTAATTCACAAACTTTTGACTCCAATTTTTTATTTTATTTTTTATTAAAAATTGTATGCTTTTTTTGAATCTAGGAAATAATACCCCTGGAAAAAAAACCACGGAAAAAAAACCCCCGGAAAAAAAACCCCCGGAAAAAAACCCCTAGGAAAAAAAACCCCTAGGAAAAAAAAGCCAAAAAATAAATCCCGGTTTGACGAGTGTCACATAAAAAATGCAAAAATTGTAAAAATACCGCAAAAATGAGCGAAACCAACCCAAATCAACCCAAACTCAACAACACAACCCTACCGACCCCGCCCCATTGACCCCCCCCCCGCCCCATTGAGTAAAAATCCCCGAAATTGGCAAAAATAAAAAAAAATTGCAAAAATCAATGCCCAAAAATGCTAAAAATTGTAAAAAAAATTGTAAAAAAATTCTTAAAAAGTTAAAAAAAAATATAAAAAAATTGTTAAAAAATTCCGAAAAAAATTGTAAGGGGGTATTTTTTCCTGTAGGTTTATTTTCCTAGGGGTTTTTTTTCCGGGGGTTTTTTTTCCGGGGGTTTTTTTTTCATGGTTTTTTTTCCAGGGGCTTTTTTTCCGTTTACCGCTTTTTTTAAATATGTACCTATGTTCGTTGTTACTTTTTAAAAGAAACCATTCCGATTCTTTATTAAAAAAACAATACTATTAATATTTTCTTTTAGTCACTGTATTAGTGAGTTAAACTCTAATTTATAAACACGTATTACCAAGTGAAAGTGTATAAAAATCATTTTAAGTATTTTTTTTAACAAAAAAAAGTTACGAAATAGACATTGGTATTACAACGGACTGGGGTACAAACAAGACTTAATCAGATAACGTAAAAAAGAAACTATAAAGGGTGGTACGATTTTAGAGTAATGCATAAACAAAATCCCTTGTAGTGGTGCTCACTTGCAGAATAACAGCTTAGATTTCTAAATTGTAGACACCCTTTTTCTTTAACTATAAGCTGGCGGAGGTCCCTTTTAGTACTTGTATATTGCGTGGAATTTTCCCTTGGATGTTCTATATCATGAGTTGTAAACACAAATAATTTTAAATTGGTTTATCATAAACTACTTTTAATAAAAGCGACGGTAGATATCCACTTTGTTGTCGAAAAATTCTATTGCGTTACCCTAAATTCCATTGCGTTACCTAAGGTAACATAATGGACTCGGTAACGCAATTGAAAAAGTTTTGTGAAACCATATTTAAAAAAAATAATAAACATAAACATGAAAAATAGTATTTTTTCTTACTTTATTTTTATTATTTTTTTGAGTAACTTAGCGGACAAACAATTATTACATTCGCGATACCCGCACCTGTTTCAACCGATATCTTCTTCCTAATTGAATAAATAAATTCAGCTGGGTAATGTGTACGTCCGAACATCATTTGTTGATCACGTGAGTGCCAAAAAAGTTGCCATATGTTTTTTTAATATTCTATCGGTAACGCGACGGACGTAACGCAACGGAAAAAATATCTGGGACATGAGTCAAATTTAAAAAAAGTAGATTAAAATTAATTATTTTATATATAAATTGTTTACTGTATTAACTAAGAATGTTATGGATTGCTATGAAGCAACACAAAGTTCTGGGTATTCAATATTAAAAAAAAACATGTATGTAAGTTTTATAAAACGCTAATGGGACATGCGAAAATGTGTGTTTCACAAGTTTTAAAATTAAAAAAAATTATTCTAAAATAACTAAACAACCATTATCTGAAAGAGTTTACTAAGGGCTTGTTAGGCTTTCACTTGGTTGTTAAATCATAAGATCCGATAATTTTTAACAAAGTTATTGGAATTCAAACTTACGGACAGGGGAAGGCGGGTGTTTTTTGAAAACGACCCAATTCTAAACAATGTAAGATATTCGATATACAGGGGCTTTAATATATGCTCGACATAAAATGTTATAATTCTTGCTTTCTTGGTTTACATTTCGAGTTGCACCGGTGCGTGGTTTATGGCGTCCATTGACCGATTACGTTGACCATCGCATGTGTGGATAATAATATTCATAACTTACACACACCTATAGGTACCCATCCACTGTAAACCACATAATACACACAAATAAATCGAGACTTTATAAATATTGCATGGACTTTTTTGTTTTGATGTAAATCTGATAACTCTGCTATAACGAGCATTACCAGAACTTTTACAGTGTATATAAATATATAATTAAAAGCATTTCACAGATTAGAAATTATTTAATAAAATAAATTTCTACATTATGAAACACAACTAATTGAGTCTTTGTTTTAGTGAAACTGTCTGTAAACGAAAATCAACGGTCCAATCAAGAACAATGTGAACGAGAACGAGAAAGAATATTTACCCCAAAAATGTGTTCACTAATAAGAAACGTGCTAAGGACATTCAGTGGTTACTTCATCAAAATAAAGTTCAAACGTTC